AAGACCCTGTCCTTTACACAGGGCACATCGAGTTGCTGTTACACACACACACACACACACACTCATGCACACACGCAGCAATGCTGCTGTTGCACACTTTACAATTAATTCATCAACACCACCACCTGGGACCTTTGCATCTCTGCATGCCATGAAAACAGAGTGCATCCTTCTGATTTCTCGGGATCTGCATTTAGGGTCCCAGGCTTGGCTGTGCTTGTTCAACACCCTCTATTTACCCAGCTCAGGTAGACAGTGGGTACATGACTACATCTTCACATGGGCTTATTCTGAGACCTGGAGGCCCGGAAGCAGCAGGCCAACCATGACAGCACCATGTAGTTTTGGCCACAGCAACCAAATGATGGTGTCTGCCTGCTGTCTGCCACCATTTCCTGTGTAACACAGCTGGGACCTTGCAGGAGCCTGCTTCTGAATGTGATGGTAAAGAAACAGTAGGCAAACCCAAATGGATAGCTTACAAAATGCATGGCCTGTACTCTTCCATGGTTCTGAGACCAAGGAACTCAAGGAAAGGAGGTGGTTTTGTGTCAAAGGGGACTGAGTCTGAAGACAGTGAGTGTGTGACTCTGGGCAGGTCTTGAGCAGGGAAAGTGAACAGGAGAGGATATGATCTAGGCAACAAGTGAAAGTATAATACACACTGTCTGCTCCCCTCCCCCCTCTTCCTTTCCCTCTCTTGCTCGCTGGCTTCCACATACTTGTATACACATAAACACACAGCAAAAGAGATCATACAAAATAAAAAAACAGCAGGCGAGCAATGGTTCCTATTTTTGTTAAATAGCAAGTGTACACTCAGTATGTGGAATGATCATGATTCTTTTCAGTGATGGGATTTCGAGTAATCTACATTCTTTTCTTTTTTGGGGTGGGGGGGTTGAGACAGGGTTTCTCTGTTTAGCCCTGGCTGTCCTGGAACTCACTCTGTAGACCAGGCTGGCCTCGAACTCAGAAATCCACCTGCCTTAGCCTCCCAAGTGCTGGGATTAAAGGCGTGCGTCACCACTGCCCGGCCCTACATTCTTTTCATTTACGTGTGGTACCACTTTTCAATATGTGCTTATTTAATAAACACTGAAGCAATAGTTTTGTATGAAAGGACAGAAAATTGTTTGAAAGATATCTTAAGATATTTCCACATTAAAAATATCCTGCCTTACCTCATTTCGGTTTTGTGGTGTGCTGAGTGTGTTACTTTAAACATTTTGCATTTTGAGGCTAAAATGTCCCCAGGCGTGCTGAGTGACCACATGAACAGGAGCAGAGACTCAGGATTGGAAAGAATTACGGTGTCTGCGGCGTCTGCTTCTCTGCAGTGTTCTACTTGGAATGCAATGCCTTGAGTTCATTCCAAAGTTCTCTAGAGTTCTTTAGGACTCTGTTCCTTTGATCTTATGTACCTGACCACTTTAAGGGCACACCCATGCTGGCCCTGAGAGGTGCACCCAGGAAAATCACAAAAGACCCAGGAACCTGAATGTGTTGCCTTGTACAGTGGCTAGGCTCATCCTCAACGTCGGCTACCTGAAGGTGTTCTGAGAACCAATGCGGAGGCTTCTGGAATGGTTTGAGCTGCTCAGAAGAAAGAAACAAACCTCGAATTCTGTTTATAAAACAACCCCCTTTGTCAGTGGGTCCACCAAGTCAGCCAAGATCAGAAAAAGACCACTGGTATCAAAGATATCACTAACAATACAAGAAAGGTAGCTGCTGGCGTGAAGTGCCACAGATGGTGACAGCTTGGTGGTTTACTTGAGGTGGATGATAAAACTATACAGTTAACAGAAGAGCAGAACGGCTCTTTTAACTGCTGAGGCATCCCTCTACCCTGCCCACTAGATATAGTCTTAAAACAAGTACTTCTTTTCTTTTTATATGGGATTGTCAAATATAAAGATAAACATACATAATGGATACGACAGGGGGGCCCCCTTACACACTTCGGTGGGCAGACTTACCCTAGTGTCCACACCCCTAAATGGTCCCTTCACCTTGCAACCTGTGATTTGCTTTCTGGCTAAATAGAACATGTACATTTAACTCTAATGTATGGATCCTGCTTGCTGGTAGGCCTTTCTTGTTGGCCTAATGAATCCTGGGAAATGCCAAGGTGTTACTTGTTAGTATTCTGTCTAAACTCCATCTCCACAGTTATCTGGCAACAGCCAGGTATGCTCCTCCCCACTTACCTGGCAACAGCCAGGTAGATCTGTCCACTATAAAAGGGGCTGCTTGCCCCCTCCTCTCTCTCTTAATCTCTTGCCTGTAGCTTCTCCCTGCCCCTCTTGCCCCCCCTCCCCCCCTCTACTCCTCTACCTCTCTGCTCTCTCTCTCTCTCTTTCTGCCTCCACTACCCTCCTGGCTTCCCTCCTCATGCCCTGAATAAACTTATTCTATACTATTCTGTCCTGTGACTGGTCCCTCAGTGGGAAGAGATGTCTCGGCATGGGCCTGCTGAGACATCCCCTTCCATCACTACTGAACTACTGGTGACCTCTAGGTGCTGCAGGTACCCTGTAGGAGCTGTGGAGAGATTCCAGTGGCCAACTGGCAAGAGGCTGGATGCTGTCTTACAAATTCATTAAAATGAATTCACTAGCGAGACCCAGATGAGCATGGAAGTGAATTCTTCTCCAGGTCATGAGAACACAGCCTAGCCTACACCCTGATAGTACGGGCTGAGGACTCAAAAGACTTGGATACCTGAGCCACAAAGGCTGTGAGGTACACCTGTTGTGTTTAAGCCCTCACTCAGGTTTGTGATAATCTGCAACAGTGGATAATTAAACACAGTTACATTATATAATGTTAACACTTTCCAAGAGTTCCCAGACTTGTTCCTTCTGTCTCCTTGTGTGTAGGAGGAGGATGGGCTGGAGAGCCTAAAAGGACAATCTAGATGTTCTATCATTTCACTTGCAAATACTTTTAGTGTGCATCTCTAGAGGATAAGGACTTTTCAACAGTGCCAGATGCCAGAAAAATCCAGTTTAGTTGAGAATAAGCATCGGCAAGTACTTTACCACGGAGCTCCACTCCCAATGCCTAGAGAGGGGTCTTTCTAAAGGCACCAAGACAAATAATAGAGTTAACATGCGCCTTTGACAAAATACCATCTTGATCACAACAGCTAAAGGGTGGGAAGGCATACAAGCTTTTACTTCAAATGCCAGAGTTGGTTGGCTTAAAAACAAATAGCACAGTTACCAAGCATTTAGTTGTCATTGTAATGTACTTGTTCGTCATACAGTATCTCAAATAATTCAAGGTCAATTCCAATTGTACATTTAAGACTCTCAGCTGGATTGGTGGAACATATCTGTAATCCCAGCAGGCAAAAGGCAGAGAATCAGGAACAGGAGAGACTACTATAGTAGCCTAGGCTAGAGTAGTGCAAACTTGTTTTTAAAAAAAGCGCACCCATCCACTCACCAAACAAAGAAAAAGCCTCATCCAGCCTCTAAGAATCACACTTGCTTTTAACTTCTTGTAATTCCATGTCCTACCTAATTACCATTTCTATTCCCACCACTTCCCAGCTGGCTACATTCTTTTTCTCTTTTGGCTAGCCAAGCTTATCTCTCTTTGACACTGAGCACTGAGGCGTGCTTTGTAAGGGAAAGACAGAGGTCTGGGTTCAGTGCCATCTCTATCACTGGGCAGCTTTGTAGTGTTGGGCAAGCAGTTTTCTTTGAGCTTGGTACAATAGTGCATTGCAGGATTGTGGTGAGGATTACACAGGACGCGGGCAGTGTGCAAATGTCCACCACGCACAGAGAAAGCACCTTTCCCAAAGCTGTCTTTGTTGCTCTTCAAACGCTGAGCATCACAAAGCCCAATACCTTGCCTCCCCGCCTTCGTCGCAGGGGATGCAGGGACTTGTAGTTTTAGATCCTCAAGTCGGTTTCCTCCCAGAGTTGGACAGCGAGAGGAGGAACTACATATCCCAGCGGGCTCTGAAAAGAAAGTAGGGCTCGGAAAATCGAGCGTCGGTGCCCAGTGCCCTTTTGCGTTCGATTACCCTAGTGCATACCCCAGTTCGCGCTCCAACCCAGCCACAAAGCGCTTGCGCGCAGCAGCGCATAGCGGCTGGGTCTCTCTGGCGCCGGGCTTGTGCCCGCAAGTACACCCAACTGTCAAACTGGGATGTAGAGAGGCGCACTCCAAGCATCTGCTAGACACGTGGTCCCTTTACTGTGTGTGGGCTCCACAGAGACAAGGAGACAGAAGTAAAATGAGCGCATTGTGATCATCAGTAGGGGAAAAGTAAAGAATGAAAGATGGGGAAGACAGCAACCTTTGCAAACAAAGCCTGCCACTGGGGCTTTTAATCCAAAAGAGGGACCAGATCGGTCGCTGCTGGAGCTGACACAGACCGCTCTGCTGCCCCCTGCCCTTAGAGGTCCCGAAGTCTGGCCTGTTTCGGGCAGTTGCCCATCACCTTGTCATTAGGGTTTCCACGCCCATCCTCTGGGCATCGGTAGAGTTTCTCGGCGTCTCAGCCACGCGTGGCGCTCGGGAGGAAGAGGACGAGCCGAGGGCAGGCCAGGAAATGTCACGTCTCCGCGCCGAGGGTACTCAAGTCCCCTGTAGTAGCAAGAACGGTTTTTCGACTGGTCACGAGGATGCGCGTGTCCAGAGGCGGCAGCTGGGGCTGGGAATAAGCTAGTGGAGAATCCTGTAGAGGATCGAAGTCCGAGGGGAGCGCATGGCGCCTCAGCACCGAGGGCAACGACCTGATCTATCCTAGGGCGAAGAATGTCACCGGGAAGCCATGCGCCTTCCTCGGTGCGCGCCAGGCCCGCACAGTCCCGGAGCCTTGTGCTCTAGCCCGAGGGGACTGGGGCAAGGACCCATGGGAGCCGGTGCAGCTTCGCTGGCCAGGAGGAGGAGGAGCAGGAGGAGGAGCCCGGCTGTGAGGCGCGGGCGTCACCGCCCACCCGGCCGCGAGGAGGCGGACCTGCTCCGAGCGCCGCGCGCGCCGGGGCTGAGCCTTGCAAACAAGTGTCTGTGGCAGTGTCCCCGCGGCCCTCCGGCGGCCCTCGTCGCTCTAGGGCTGGCTCCTCCGGACAGAAGGAACCGAGGAAGCCCCGGGAGCCGCCGCCACCGCCACCACCCTCGGCCTTAGCCCCGCGTAGGGGCCGCGGACTCATCGCGGCTGCTCGGTTCGTGGACGCGGGGTCGCAGCGCGGGCAGCGCCCCGGCTCCTTCGGAGCAGCTCCTGACAGAAGAACGCGCGTGGCTGTCCCCACCCCTGGGAGGGGTTGCCGGTGCCGCGGGCTGCCGCCCAGTTTGCAGCGCTCTCTCCTGGGAGAATCCGTCACCGGGAAAGAGTAGAAACCACCTGGCTGAGGCGCAGAAGTGGCTCCGGAAGGAGCCGGCGTGAGGTCCACTGCCTCGTGTCCCCTAAGGGCGCGGCGATCGGGGATCCGCGGGCCAGAGCCCAGGCGCAGCCGGGAGCTTGCGGGTGGCAGAGCCAGGCGCACCGCCATCTGGGTGTCTGCTGAGCGGTCCCCCGCGCCCCGCGGGGTCCTGCCGCCCCGATCCACGGGCTGGAAACCACGGAGAACCGCTGCCGCGGACTGCGGACCAACACAGTCCCTCCCGAAAGCGGGTTCTGCTATGACAGCTGGGCTCTCCCAGGGGTTAACCTGGGTGTCTTCGGCAAAGTTGTCGCCGAGCCGGGAGCCCGTTTAGGGGTCGCAGCGCCGCGGCTTGGGAGACGGCCAGGTGGCCGGCGGCGGCCGTGGCTCGGCGGGACCCGCGGGGCCGGGGGGCTTCTGGGGGTGTGCGCCCCCAGCCGGCTGCCCTCGTGGATGCCTCCCGGCGGCGGCGGGCCCATGAAAGACTGCGAATACAGTCAGATCAGCACCCACAGCTCCTCCCCCATGGAGTCGCCCCACAAGAAGAAGAAAATCGCGGCCCGGAGGAAATGGGAGGTGTTCCCGGGAAGAAACAAGTTCTTTTGCAACGGGAGGATCATGATGGCCCGGCAGACTGGCGTCTTCTACCTGACGCTCATCCTCATCCTGGTCACTAGTGGACTCTTCTTCGCCTTCGAGTAAGTGGCGGTTTCCAGATGCCGTGTTCCCCCTCGCCTTCCGTTACCTCTACTTTGGCGACTTTCATTTTCTGGTGTATGTTGTTATATAATGCCAGCCTGCTTGCCCTGTTCTCCCTTTATGGGATTTTCAGCCCCCTGAGATAACGCCTTGCTGGGCCTGGATCCTGGGAGTAAGGAAGAGGAGAGAGGGGCACTTGTAAGGTGTGCCAGGTCACTGGCTCCAGAGCATTGCTAGAACCAAGCAGGTGAACTCTGAGTTTGGAACTAGCACATCTGCCCGGGTGCAGCCTTCTGGGGTGGGGTGGAGGTTTCTAAGATAGGGATAGACTTGACTTAGTCCTTATCCCCGCCCCCATGACCCCCACCCCATCCCTACTAAGGAAGTTCTAGACATCTTCTTAAAGCTAGTTGGCTGAGTCTTAGTTATTTTAGGTCAAAAGTGTTGATTACCTACAGTGTCCTGTGTGAGTAATTTCATTTTTCATTTCCTGGTACCCATGATTAACTACAGTCTTACCAAGGGTGGAGTGTACCTTCTTTCAAAGAAGTTTCCCCAGAAAATAGCCATGAGAGATCATTTGGGAACAGGTGAGAGGTGTAAGGCCTGGAAGGGAAAGCCGGACAGCATGTCGAGCCTCCTGATTCCAGAAACAACACGGTGGGACTCTATCCCGGGGGTGGTGATGGTGGGGTGGACTACAACTACATGTGAGTCTTTAGGAAACATCAAATTAGTCATAGCAACCATCCTTCTGCTGGCTGAAGAGAGGTCTTCCTTATCAGTAGCCCTCAGGTAAAGAGTTTAGCCATATTCGGGATCTCTCTATGAATTGGTCTGATTGAGTTCAACATCTGCAGCTTCTCACCCCTCCTCATTCCATGCTCAAAAAAAGTTAAAGTCTCTATTCAAACTTTTAACAAGGAGTATGTTTCTGGGCAGAGTTTCTTTGAGCTGCCCATATTCTGTGTATTATTAAAGGCGTGGTATATGCTTTCAGACCTGGCGGTGGCTTCTGGCTAGGGTTATCTACAACCTATGTTTGTGTAGTTTTGTCTCTAACAAGTACTAGGCTCTGATTTTGACCATCCCCCCACCCCCCTCCGATTTTGCTTGTTGACCTTCTAGAGCCCATATCCTATATTTCTGACTCTGGATTGCCCTGGTGTGTCATAGGTTACTTTTTGTGGGTGATGGAGACAAAATTGTAGCATCTATTGGGGGACCCATGGGCTGGAGGGAGGGATATAGGCTGCATGTAGAATGCCAAAGATGCATAATATATGGGGCTCCTGTTGTTTCTGGGTCCCCAGCCATGCAGCCAGCTGATTGAACTGGTGGAACCTGGAGGATGGGGCACAGGGGATCCTCACATGCTTGCATTTGACTTCAGAACCAACACCCAGTTGGGAGTAAAGATGCCACATGTTTAACAGTGTGCCATCCCCTCTGCAGTGGCTTTAGTCACAGGTGGCTTCAGCTGGAGAGTACTCACTGCTTCAGTCGTCACAAAATGCTTCGAGTGGATTCGTATTGGCAATTTAACTCCTTTTAGTGGTTCTAAGAGTAGAGAAAATCAGGTAGTTGTCACGATCTGGTTACAGAGCTTCAGTTGGGAGTGTGTTGCATATAGGGTGGTGAATAAGTCACTCTTGATGTGTATCCAAATCTTCACTGCATGGTGTGGCCACCCCCACCCCCATTATTACACTCTTTTATTTTCCTGTTCAAATATAGATTCTAACAAAGTCATCATAAATTTGTGTTTATTTCCTGGTCTCTCTCTCTCTCTCTCTCTCTCTCTCTCTCTCTCTCTCTCTCTGTGTGTGTGTGTGTGTGTGTGTGTGTGTGTGTGTGTGTGTGTATGTCCTTTTCCAAGAGTTCCCCAAAGCCCTCACTTGCAGCTTATTAAGATTGTTAGCTGCACCAGTGGTGTGCTAGCTGATGACGGTAGGAATAACCTCGGGCACTGGGGTTTTATTAGATCCTGTTTGCAGCATTGTTATTATGTCTGCTCTGTGGGACTCAGGATGTGTGCTTTCGAGCATGCTCCCTCTCCACCACCATGGCTTGAAGTTTCAAGAAAGCAGGAGGCCTGTCCTGGTGTTCCACTTCAGTTTAGAAACATCATAGGTTCACTCCAACCTCGGACTGTTAAGGTTTGGAAAGACATTACCACTGTGTTCCATGACTGTATTCCATGACTGTATTCCATGGCTTTATCCTGGGTGCCGACATCGTTATAAGTTTTTAATCACTGCTAGTGACAGAATGAAGTCAAATGGCTCTAACCAAGTTAATTTGCCAGAGACTCAAAACCCAGTTTGCCACACACATAGGAGATGCCAATATTGTCTACTCCAGCCCGTCTTTCTTTCCGCCATTCTTTACTTACTGGTTGGACATATACCCTGAGGCCCCCTACTTTGGTTTCAGATGTTGGCAGCTTTTCGTGTAATCAGATCTGTTAGGCTTGTCATTAGGATCGAACACACTAGAAAAATAACTGAAAGGAGGGAAGATGTATCATGGCTCAAGGTTTGGGAGGCCTCAGCCTCTGTTTGCCTGAGTCGTTGCTTTCACACCTAAGGAAAAGGATAACATATCAGCAGGGCCATGTGCTTGAGAGGAAGGCTGCTTACCTCATGGCAGCTAGGAAGCAGAAAGAGGCAGAAATGGACCCCGACTGGACCCACTTCTCACCACAATCCCCTACCACCTCCCAACGATGCCATTATATAAATCCACCCCTCTGCCCTCCTCATTCTCAACCTGGAACAGATGAATGAGAAAGTTGAGTGGAGAGAAGTGAACTCCACAGAACCTGCCACAGGTGTTGGTGGTGACTTCAGGCCCTGGAGAATGCAGAGTAGAAATGATTACTCCCACAAGAGAGATGAAGGGAGAGATCACAATACTAGTCCCACAGGAAGGCTGCTGAGCACACAGCCAGGTCTCCTGAGGTTCGAGCATCCTATTCTCTGCAAAGTATAGCATCTGGTTAGAAATGGAACTTTTGGATATGTGTATCCTAAACAGTTTTCCAGCAGCATGACCTTCAATAGCTGGTCATCGTTTATAAACTTTGTGTTGGTTAGATTTATCTTCCTCTTCCTTCTCCTCCTCTTCTTCCTTTTCTTCCTCTTCCTTCTCCTCTTCTTCTTCCTTTTCTTCTTCTTCTTCTTCTTCTTCTTCTTCTTCTTCTTCTTCTTCTTCTTCTTCTTCTTCTTCCTCTTCCTCTTCCTCTTCCTCCTTCTCCTCCTCCTCCTCCTCACCATCACCATCATCATCAAATTGATACCACTGAGGGTCACCTGGAAAAATGGAACCTCAACTTAAGTGTTGCTCAAATCACATTGACCTGTGTGTGGCCTTGTCTGTGAAATATTTTCTTGATTGATGATCAGTGTGGGAGGGCTCTGCCCACTGTGGGTGGCATAGTCCCTAGGCAAGCAGGTCTGGGCTATGTAACAGAGGTGGCTAAGCAAACCAGTGAGCAGTATTCCTCCATGGTTTCTGTGTTGACTTCCCTCAATGATAGACTGTAACCTGGAAGTGTAAGCTGAAATAAACACTTTCCTCCCAAAGGTGCTTTTGGAACAGTTCTCAACCTTTGGGTCACAACCCCCAAAAGATCATGGGAAAACATGGGTATTTATTTATATTATGATTCATAACAGTAACAAGATTACAGTTATGAAGTAGCAATGTAAAGTGGTTTTATGATTGTGTGTAGGGGGGTGATGACCACAACATGAGGAACTATATTAAAGGTTAGGTTTAGCGTTAGGAAAGCTGAGAACCACTGGGTTAGTGTGTCTTTAATCACAGCGACAGACTCTAGGCTACATCAGACTGAAGATGAAAGCCAAGCTATAGAGTGGGATTTATAACATCTACCGTTAAATGTTAACATTAAGTGGGAAACAATTCTTAGGGTGGTGACCTGGGGGCTGGAGGTAGGGGAGCCAGTGCTGAGTGTGTGGTGTGTATTGTTAGAGTAAACCTCGCAAGGACCCTGCCTACCCTTTGAGAGCCTTTAGGGAGCATGTAGGTTAATAAGCAAGAGTGTTAAGACAGCATTATTAGTACCAAGAAATGAGTATGTGTAGTCCCTCATGAGAGCAGCGACCGTTATAAAAGTCCCTTGAGCCCGAGTAAGCAATGTCCTCGATCTTCCCTCTGCAGAGTGGGAGGCTCACAGGGGTGCCCGAGAAAATGTCCCAGTCAAGGCCCCGATTCCATCTCCACTTCTGGAGTTATCATCTTAGAACCGTAAACCAGCAAAGAAGCTACCAGAAGCAACCAGATGTGCTACTTTACTCTTTCCAAGCAGGTCAGGGCCGCTTATCTTTTTGGCAGGCTTTCCTGCACACATGGAGCGCTGGTGAAACATGACACCATTTCAGAGCTAGCATCTAAGAGAGGAGGAAGGGCCGCTGACAGCAGCGCTGTTGAGACATCTCACTGCTCTCGAAATTACTAAGGGTCTCTTTAAAGGCTGCGATACCTTCATCCTCACAGCTACAGGATGGGATTTGAAAAGATCAGTGAACGTTGCCAATGCCTTCCCCTCTAATTACGCACACGTGGATATATGCAGCCTATCTTGTCATGGCTAAAAATCTGAGAGTAAAAACTCTTTGCTTCTAACTATTGAGATTCCAGTTACTTCTCATGGGGGTAGAAAGAAGGACCAGGATGGGGATTTCAGAAGTGAGTTCTTGTTTCAGACCTGTTTTGACCCCAGGCATGATCGTATGTTTCCTTGTGACATGTTGAAGGTGTTGTGGGCGGGGGTGGGGGATCCCAGTATGAGTGCGAATTTGGGAACATTCTCAAATTGTCGTTGCTAGAAGTCCACTGATGTTTGTTTCAAGAAGCAGCATGGGGCCAGCAATATGGTAAAGGTGCTTGCAGTCAAGCTGGACAGCCTGTGTTCTGTCCCTCTGACCCACATAGTTGGAGAGAACTGATTCCTGCAAGTGACTCTGCCTTC